GGATACTTTCACTTCTTCTTTCCAATTTTGATATGCTTTAATTTTTTTCTCTTGCCTGATTTCTCTGGCTAGGACTTCCGATACTATGTTGAATATAAGTGATCACTGTGGGCACCCTTGTCTTGTTAAAGTTCTTAGTTGAGATACTTTCAGCTTTTCCCCATTTAGCATGATGTTGGCTATGTGGCTGACATACATGGCTTTCATATTTTTGAGGTATGTTCCTTCTAGCCCTAGTTTGTTCAGGGTTTTTATTAAGAAGGGACGTTGGATTTTATCAAATGCTTTTTCTGTATCTATTTATCTTGGGGTCTTCTTTTTTGCTTCTGCTTGTGTTAAGTCATATTTATTTATTGGCATATGTTAAATGACCCTTGCATCCCAAGGATGAAACCCATGGAGGGATATATATGTATGTGTATATATATATATATGTATATATATATATATATATATTTGGTGTGCTATTGAATTCAGTTTGCTAGTATTTTGTTGAGGATTTTTGCATCTATGTTCATTAGGGATATTAGTCTGCAGTTTTCATTTTTGTGTTGTGTCTTTTCTGGCTTTGGTATGAAGGTTATACCGACTTTGTGGAATGAGTTAGAGAGGATGCTTTCCTTCTCGATATTATGGAATAAATTTTGTTGGATAGGTACCAGTTTTCACTTCTAGGTATGGTAGAATTTGACTGTGACTCTATTTGGTCTGGGTCTGTTTTCTTGTTGATAGTTTTTTTAATATAATTGTTTCAATCTTGCTCTTATTGTCTATTCAATATTTTTGTTCTTTCCTGATTTAAACTTGGGAGGTCGTGCATTTCCAGAAATTTGTTTATTTCCTTTCTATTTTCCAGTTTGTATGCATAGAGACTCATGTATATTCATGAATAATATTTTGTATTTCTGTGGCATCAGTTATAACATCTTTTTCATTTCTGATGAACTTATTCGGTCCTTTTCTTGTCTACTTTTGGTTAATCTAGCTGGATAGCTATCAATTTTATCATTTCAAAATACAACTTTTTGCCCATTGGTCCTTTGTGTTATTTTTTTTTTTTTTTGGTTTCCATTTTGTTCGATCTTCCCCTGAGCTTTGTTACTTCTTTTTTCTGCTAGCTTTGAGTTTAGTTGGTCCTTTTCCATTTTCTTTGAGGTGTGACCTTGGTTCATTAATTTGTGATCGTTCTGCCTTTTTGATGTAAGAAAAGGCTAAGGCTATAACTTTCTTTCTCAATACTGATTTTACTATATTCATAAATTTTGGACAGTGGTGTCATGAATGTCATGAAAAATCTTTTGATTTGCATCTTAATTTTATCATTGACCCAAGAGGATCATTCTTCAGAAGGTTGTTTCTATGACTCTGTGTAGATTTATTTGAGAGTATCTCTTGGAATTGATTTCTAGTTTTATTCTACTTTGGTCTGAGATTCATGGAATGATTCTGACTTTTCTGAATATACTGAGACTTCTTCTTTTTTTTTTTTTTTTTTTTGCGGCTTTTGGCCAGGACTAGGTTTGAACCCGCCACCTCTGGTATATGGGGCCAGCGCCCTACTCCTTTGAGCCACAGGTGCTGCCCAATATATTGAGACTTCTTTTATGGCACAACACATGATATATCTTGGGAAGTTTCTCATGTTTTGATTAAAAAATATATATTCTTCTGTTTAGGGGTCATATGCTCTACAGAGATCTGTTAGGTCCATTTGCTCTCGAGTCCTATAGACAAAACACTAAGTCCAGTGTGTCTTTGTTGTCTGCCTGGATGATCTGTCCAGTTCTGTTAGTAGAGTGTTGAAGTTCCTATAAACAATGGTGTTGCTGGTTATTCTTTGATTAAATGTAGTAGCATTTTATTTATGCACCTGTGAGCTCCTGTGATAGGTACATATATTTTTATGATTGTTATATCTTGTTGCCAAATTGCACTATCTTTATTTACTTATTTACAATTGTTGATTTAAAGTCTATTTTATCTTAGAGTACCTACTCCTGGTTGCTTTTGGTTTTCATTTGTATGGAATATTTTTTTTCTACCCTTTTACCTTGAGTAGACGCAGAATCTCTGCAAGTTAATTAAGTTTCCTAGATATAGCAGAAACTCAGGGTATATTTATTCATCCATTCAGCCAGGCTATATCTTTTCTTTTCTTTTCTTTTCTTTCTTTCTTTCTTTCTTTCTTTCTTTTTTTTTTTTTTTTTTGAGACAGAGTCTCACTTTGCCACCCTTGGTAGAGTGCTATGGCATCATAGCTCACAGCAACCTCAAACTCTTGGGCTCAAGTGATTCTCTTCCTCAGCCTCCGAAGTAGGTGAGGCTACAGCTGCCCACCACAATGCTCAGCTATCTTTTTTTTTTTTAAGAGATGGGGTCTTGCTCTTGCTCAGGCTGATCTTGAACTCCTGAGCTCAGGCAATCTACCTGCCTTAGCCTCCCAGACTGTTAGGATTATAGGCATGAGCCACCATGCCCAGACTATATCTTTTTAAGGGAGAATTGCACCTGTTTACCTGAAGCATTAGTATTGATATGTGAGATATTCTTCTGTTCATCACTTTAAATAATATTTAGTTACTTTGTTTTCTCTCTTCTGCAACTATTTTGTAAAGGTTGTAAGCTTTAACTTTTGGGTGTTTTTACATTGGTATTGATTTTTCTTTTCCACATATAGAGCATTTTTAAGCACTTCCTGTAGGGCAGCCATAGTGGTGACAAATTCCATTAGTGTTTACTTGGCTAGGAAAGACTTTATTCCTCCTTTCTCTAAGTTTCTTAGGTTTGGAGGATACAAAATGTTTGACTTGTAGTGATTCTGTTTAAGAAACTAAAAACAGGACCCCAATTCTTTCTGGGTTTAAAGTTCTCTGCTGAATGGTCTTCTGTCAATCTGATTGATTTTCCTTTGTAGGTTAATTTGTTACTTCCATCTCACAATATGTAGAATTTCCTCCTTCACTTTGACTCTGGTCAGACTGATTCATGTGTGAATTTTTGATGCATTATTCCCACCATCATGCCACCATTGCACATCTGAGCTTCTATTCAGGTGAGACTAAAGTAATTTCCTTAGGAAACACATAGATATCCCGAACATTGCAAACTAGTTCTCATGTGTTCTGTTCTTTTCACCGTAATGGAAAAAAAAATTAAAAACCTGGGAATTAGACCCCTTTATCCCTACATCCCTATTGTAATGTACCATGCTGTGAAGATATTGAATACAAGAGCAAGGTAAAATCCAGAGACTTTTATTTTTATTTTTATTTTTTTTCATTTTGAATGTGGCCTTTCGTTAACTGAGTGTTCATTTGGTTGCTACCTATCTTTGGCTTCCAGCCTCTTTTGGGGGATAACACTGATGTAGTCAGTTTGTAGTTGCTTATTTTTTGTTTCTATGGGAAAACAAGAACCTGGGTATCTATCATCTTACGCAGAGTTTATTTTTGCTTATTATCATCTGTGCCCCCTCTCTATTTTGCTGATATAAACAACAGAGAGGAGCTTTCATTATTAGTTATGTATGTTAAAAGAATTATTAATATCATGCAGAAGAAAAGGGGCAATGGTGAGCCAGGAATAGATCTCTCAAAACATTGTCACATTGAAAAATAATGATCCAATCATGCTAAATAGAAAAAAAATAAACATTTTCTCTGTGTAGCCAGTGTTTCTTGTGAGATAATAACACCCCTCTTTTGCATTATATTTTATACACTTAAGAAAAATTTTAGATGTTTTAATTGTTCTTGATAGAGTTATTAGATTCCAGGTCTACTGTGCACCTTGTCCCCTCTAACTGCCATACAGTCCATATTTTGTATCTATAGTCACCCAAACTTGGATTGTCATCTGCTCATGAAATGCTAGTCATTCTTAAATCCCCACATCAAATTCTTTAACTTCTAGAATTCATCTCTGAATGATCCAACTTACAATTCTCCCTCTCTTCTTTGTATTCTTTTTATAGGGAGTAGACATTAGAATATTTGGCATATTTAAGAGAACTATGCAAGAATTCTTTTGTCCTGGTAGTGCATATGCTGTTGCCGACTTAGTGCCAGTCTTTCAGGTTAAAAAATACCCCAATATATTAGCAAATACTCAATTAAAGACGCTAATATTATTTTAAGAAATACTATAATCTAATTAATTTATTTAATTTTTTTTCTTTACCTACACACATACCAAAACACAATAATAGTTGTAGAATTACTGAACACTTATTTTGGGAAACTTTATTACAGGTTTTATGAGTTATGGCAGGAGATGTAATATTATACATTATATGTATTATATATCACTAGTGTGTCAAGGATAGGATATCAGCTACAGTGAACTGTGTATCATCAAATCTTAGAGCTAGGCCATGCTGGCTTTCTTAGCACCTCTCCTCAACTATGTGTTAAGCCATAGAAAATCAGCAAACACTACAAATCAGGGCTTCTTTTTCCAAGAAAGCTCATAATTATTATAAATATGTATATAAATAAAATGAAATTAACTATTGGATAGAATTACCTCCTCTAAGGGCAGAAGTATTAAATTAGATTCAACTTCTAAGCAATTTTTTTCACTTTATGATTATATTAGCAATTCTCAATACTCAATTAAAGTCAAGAAAAGGTCAACACTGAATGCTTGCTCAACTATAGCCTTACCAGGGCCCTATTCTTTTCATAAACCGTATTTTTTTTTTTTTGCAGAGTCTCACTTTATTGTCCTTGGTAGAGTGCTGTGGTGCCACACAGCTCACAGCAACCTCCAACTCCTGGGCTTAGATGATTCTCTTGCCTCAGCCTCCCAAGTAGCTGAGACTACAGGCACCCGCCGCAATGCCTAACTATTTTTCTGTTGCAGTTTGGCCGGGGCCGTGTTTGAACCTGCCACCCTTGATATATGGGGCCGGTGCCCTACCCACTGAGCCACAGGCACCACCCTATAAGCCCTATTTTAATCTGAGATTTCTTTATTTGCATTGCCTTAATTTTATGTACCTCATAGATGCAAGGAGATCATCATGGTTGTATGAAGATGAACTCATAATTCTATGTATGTAGTAATGTGCAGGTTCAGTAACGAGATTCTTTTCTTCTTTCTGGAAATGCAAATCAGGTATTACACAAAGTGAGTTTGATATGTGCTTTCTCATTTTGGGACTTTTTTAATGCAGTCTAATCTACACTTAGAAAAAAAGTTTTAGAGAGTTCTGAAAAGGTGGTTGCATCCTACAATTATAAATGTCTCTTCCAATATAATTTCTTTCGAACTGTCTCAGTGAGGATGATTTAAATTATGATATTATTGGTCTTTGACTAGATTTTAAACATAAACCTAGAACAATGTTTAAAGAATCTAATCTTCCATTTATAAACTTAAAAGTAATTTTAATCATATTTTTCTGAGTTCAACAGCAAAAAGAACAGAGATTCAACTCAACGCTGGCCTATTAGGAAGGTTTTAAGGTCTATTATTTTAAAAAATACTTCAGTCTATTTGTTGGGAAGTCAGGAAAGTTCTGTGTCCTGTTCTTTTCTCTGGTTTATGTCAGCTTTTGTGTTTACCTGGCACTGTCATCAAATGAATAATCAAAAAAATCATTTTATCAGGAAATTCTGAATCACATAGTCTCCAAAAACATGTTATGATATAGATATTTGGACAGAAAAAAAAAACCCAAACCTCAAAAGGTCACTGAGGCCTATATGATCATTTACAAGGTTTTGATTTTATAAGCTAATTGTAGGATGTTATTTAAAAATGTTAATTAACTTTTTAAGTTTGGATTAAGTTGGCTAAGAGACTTTTAAGAAAAAGTTAGCTATGTAACTTGCCCAAAGGTCACTGAGCTATTGAGTCAAAGTTAGAATTCAAACCCAGAAGAATCTAAATTTCTGTGCATCCTTTTGTATTTCTACATACCTCAGCCAAACTTCTTAAACTATTCTACTGGCATAAGGATAAAATTTCAATGAGTATTTACCAGTCAAAAACATAAAAGTTCTGGAATCTATTGTTTTCAGTAATTAGCTTACATTCTTCTTAACTGTTTCTATTTTCTTGTTCCCATGGGCTTCTAATTAATCTAGGTTTCTGCTCATTACCTGCTTTCCCTCAATTGAGTTACATGGCTGTATCTATGAAGCATTTCTTTTATACTGTAAATATCACCAAATTTAGGAGGAGACAATTCATTTTAGTATTCTTTTGCATCTAATCAAAGTATGTTCTTGGACCAAGTTTGTGAAGCTCTCTACCCTTTCACTGATAGCCATGTTTCTCACTTACCTTATGCTGTGGCTTTTTCTCCCAAGAAGAGACTGTGTCAGGCGTCATTTTTGCTGTGGACATGTCAAGCTCAGCAACAGCTCTTTTAACATTTGTCTCATTAGATTCTATTATCTGATTTGAAACTGGTTCAATACTTTCAATATTTTCACTAGATATGTGACAACATTTACTTAGTGACAAGAATTTTTTCAGGCTGCTGGTGCTTGGAGTTGACTTAGGAGAAACTTTGCTTTCTACCGGCTTGTTGACTTTTTTCACATGATTTATAAATTGGTCTTGGGCAAACACCTCTCCTAAAATGACTTCTTCTTCCTCAGAATTTACTTCCTCTTCTATGTAATCTTCCATATTAGCTTGATCAATATCATGAGCTACTAATCGAATAATAAGATCTTTTTTGCTTTGAACATCTTTTAAAAGCTCCACCTTGCTAATATCAGGCTTTCTTATATTCTGAAATGAGTTTCTGCAAACAGCCTGAAATTAAAAATACAATAATTATCCTTTTAAAAAATATGCTTCAATCACTTTTCCTGTACTTGTATTGTGACATAGCAATTTTTTCTGTGATTTCTGATTTCAATTTAAGTTATATCTTCAAATGCCACTTATGTATATATTAGCAATTTTTTAATGAATAAATAAATTAAAAATCATAAATAATATAATTTTTTTTAAATTTCACATTGATATGAGGGAACGAATTTTTAGGTTACATTGTTCTCACTCCCAAGGTAAAGTTCAAGCTGTAGGAGAGTTCCCTACCTGAGTGGGGTGTGTTAAATACCCTTGCATTGTGCACAGTAGGTGAGATCCTACCAAACACCCTCCCTCTTCCCACCAATTGCCCCCATTCCCCTGTCCCTTTCCTCCTCACCCCTCTCCATTGCTAGACTATCTTTGTATTTCATAAACAATAGTTTTTGGTGACCATCATTTCTTTTACATTCAGATATATTAATCTATCTTACTCCAAACATAACTTACTCCAAAAAACAGAGGAAGGTCTAATATAGGTTCTTTTTCTTTGTCTACAATTTATATTTTGTTGCAAAAATAATTTAATAACTTTATATTTTTGTCATTTATCTTGAAAATCTTAATGACAAAAAGACATGATAATCTAATTCTCCTAAATCCTCAGTAGGGAATTATAAAGAAATCTAACTACACATATATTCAAGACTAAAGGAAAGAAGGTCTCTGATTTTGACTTCTAAAAATAATGAATAGACCCAAAATTTTGGTCTTAAATTTTTACTCCCTACCTTTTCACTATTGATCTTTCAGACATATTTTCCAAGAGATTCCACATTTTTTCTTGTTTCCTTAGTTGAATTGCAATTTTCATTGTCAATGTTAAATACAGATCAAAGAAAAGATAACTATAATTAAATAAGTTCTCCATTTCTGTAACTTTGACTATGCCACAGAACCTAAAAATTGATTTAACTTAATAGTACTATACAACTTCCCTTTGTAAAACTGTAAACAAATTTTCAGAAAATGGTGCCTTAAAGGAATATTTGTTGAAATGAAATCTTTGAAGAACTATTTTAAAAAATTAAAACAAACAAACAAAATAAGTAAAAAATAAAAAATTAAAACAATCAATTTTCAGTATCTCTGGTAGGAGATAAATCTAGGGTTTAGAAAATACGAAATCATTTTATATGGCTTTGGGTTTTGTTGCCATGTGTGGTTTCAACACCCACATGTCTAGGGTGTTATGAATATAGGTATCTCAACCATATAAGATTTCTAAAAGAAAATGTTGGAAAAACTGCTACAGATATCGGCCTAGGGAAAGAACCTCAGAAGCAATCACAGCAACAAAAATAAACAAATGAGACCTGATCAAATTAAAAAGTTTCTACACAGCTAAGGACACAATCAATAGAGCAAATGGACAACCTACAGAATGAGAGAATACCAACGTACAGCAAGATACTCATATGCTATACATCTGACAAAGAGCTGACAACCAGAATCAACAGAGAACTCAGGCAAACCAGCAAGGGAAAAATCAAACAACCCATTAACAAGTGAGTAAAAGGGAGAGAGGGGAAAGAAGGCTGACTGGAGGCTCAGAAGCTCCCATCTAGAAGGAAGAAAATTAGACTGAAGTGAACTTGAAGTTGCTGACATTGGGAGGTACATCAAAAGGAGAAGAAATCAAAGCACTAAGCAACCCCATTGAGACAAACTGAGAGAACAAAGAATAAAAAGTAGAATGAAGAGAAAAGAGGACAGTTATGAGCAGATCAGACTAGAAGAGCCCAAATAGTGGAAGGGTAAGAGGACCCTGGGGGCTCTCTGAGCAGTGATCCATGGAACCTGTCATTGCATGGGAGAGTGCCACAGGGGAAGAAAGACACCCTTTTTCTGTACCTATGAATATCTTCCTCTGGGTCTCCTCCTGCATGGCAGAATATTGAGCAATTTTGACTCAGTCACCCTACCACAATCCATCCCCCTTCTTTCTTGGGGTGTCATATAGACTGCTCCCTGCAGAGGCCTACTTTCAAGAAGGGGTGAATTGGAGTGCTAGCCAAGCTCAAGCAAAAGCCACAAAGGTGAAGAGTTTTGAACCCTACACAGCTCCCATAGCAACTGAGTAAGGGTTATAGAAGCCACTTGCTCTGTCATTAGTAATAAGCAGGGAGAAAAGGGAGACAGGCCCTGCTCCCTCAATGTGTTTGGCAGGATCTCTGAGGGGACCTCTGCATTATATGGCCCAGTGAAATGAATGCTCCCTGCCCCTCACTGTAGGAGGAAATTGTGGCTTAATTACACTAATTTTGGTGAGGCAAGGTCTCTTCTAAATCTCCCTCCTGCTGGGGCAGGGGAGAGCTTTCTCTATCTTCTGGAGTAGTAGTACCCAGCATCTGTGCCCAGCAAGGCTTTCCCTGGTGTTTCATCCCACAACTTCCCTCCTGCTGACTTGGAGAGGGATGGGTCTAGCCTCAGGCATTCTGACTATAGGAAATTCCTGGGTTGTAGATTGCAAGCCATAGATCTCCCTCCCCCAACCAGAGGCAAAAGCCACAGCCTGGACTTTGGTGAAGACCATGGCTTTTTGAATTTGTTTGCCCATGGGTCTGAACTATGGCTGGGCAGTTCAGCAAGCCACAGATTCCTCTTCCCCTACTGCAGGCAAAGCTCCAGAATTTTGAATATGTATCATCCTGCACTCTGGTGAAAACAGAGTCTGTTAATTTGTTTAACGGTAGAACTTTCACTTGGATTAGAACAGTTTAGCTTGCTATCCAGGAGCTACCACTGGTCTGTGTCACCTGGAGGTTCCTGCCTCAACTCCATCCCGCCCAACCTGGAAATAACAAGACCAATTCTCAGAAACCTTCACAATCCACAGCCCTAAGGCGTAGCTTTCAGAGGCTCTGTGCAGAAGGGCACAGGTGTAAGTGGCATCTCATTTGATCAGTCAGTGGTGAAGGGGAGTGATCAGCTCTATATCCTGGGGTCTCTGGATCTGATTCTAGTCTGACAATTTTAGTTTCAAAACAGATCTGGGTATTGCCTAAGGGACTCCAACTAGATTATATCCCAATAACAATTGGGGACAACTTAACATTCTGGCTGAAAAAGTAAAATAAATATATAAATAAACTGAAAGGACACATGGAGAGGAACCAGCAGAAGAACCCTGAAAACATGAAAAAGCAGAGCAGACCAACCCCCTCAAGAGATTACAAGGGAGATACAGCTGAAAATACCATCCATAGAGAAATTATTGAAATGACAGAAATTGAATTCAGAATATGGATGACAAATGAGATGAATGGAACTGCTTAGAAGATGGAAAAAGAAATCCAAAAAGAAGTCAAAAATATATCTCAAGAAATTCATGAAATTGAAGACAAAGTCACCAAGGATCTGGACATAACTAGGAAAAATATAGCAGAATTAAAGAAATTGAAAGAAGCATTCACAAAGAGTTTCAAAACACAATAGAGAGTCTCAGCAATAGAGCAGAATACGGACAAGGTAGAATCATAGAAATCAAACACAATACTTTTGAACTAAGCATTCAAAGATGAAGAAAAGAGGAAAGTGAAAGCAGAACTATCACTGAGAGAGATACAAGAGTAAACAAAATGCACAAATTTATGAATTATAGGGATTCCTGAAAGAGAAAAAGAAAGTCATAAAATATGGGATATGTACCTCAGGACATCAAGGTGGACATTCCAAGCACTGCAAAAAACCCAGAGATTCATATACTAGATAGTTTTAGAATCCCAGCACAATTCAATTCAAACAAAGCATCTCCTAGACACATTGTAATTAACCTGGCCAAAGTCAAAATGAAAGAGAAAATCGTTTCCTCAGCCAGATGTAAGCAACTTCTTATCTACAAAGGGAAAAACATCAGGGTGATAGCCGACTTTTCAGCTTAAACTTTTCAATCCAGAAGAGGGTGGCCATTTGCGTTTACTCTTCTTAAGCAAAACAATTTTTAGCCCAGGATTATGTACCCTGCTAAAGTAAGTTTCATATTTGATGGAGACATCAAATCTTTTACTGACATGCAAACATTGTGCAATTTTTCTGCACTGCACTTCTGCAGGAAGTGCTCAAACTGAATCTTCACACTGACCAGCATAATGGACCACCACTAAAGTAACACACACAGAAATGAAAGGACAAAGCCTATCTTCCACAATGACACAAGTGACAAAACTAAGTAACAGACAGCCACAAAATAAGAAGAAAAGAACTCCACCATATTTATCAATTCTCTGAGTAAATGTTAATGACCTGAATTCCCCACTGAAGAGGCAGAGGCTGGCTGACTGAAAAAGCACAAGCCTAATATATGTTATATTCAGGAAACACATCTACCCTCTAAGGATAAAACAAAATTCAGGATGAAAAGTTGGAAAACAATTGTTTAGGCAAATGGAAATCAGAGGAAAGCAGGGGCTGTTATCTTATTTGCAGATACAATGGGATTTAAACCATCAAAAATAAAGAAAAATGAAGATAGACACTATATACTAGTCAAGGGAACAATATAAGAGAACATTTCAACCCTAAATATTTATGCCCCCAACTTAAATGCTCCCTTGAAAAATAAAATGAACACTAACAGATCTGAACAATATGATATCCTACAACCATAGTACTGGGGAATTCAACACCCCACTGACAGAACGGACAGATCCTCCAAGCAGAAACTAAATGAAGAAATAATGAATTTAAACACAATTTTAGGACAAATGAACTTAACAGACATATAAATAAATTTCATTCCAATAAAACTAAGTATATGAACAACTCATTAGCCTACATGTCATCCTCCAATATTGATCATATCTTAGGGCACAAATGAAAACTCAAAAAATTTCAAAGAATAGAATTTATATCTTGTATCTTTTTGGACCACCATGACATAAAAGTAGAATTAATGCCAACAAACATCTGCATCCCTACATAAGATCCTGGAAATTAAA